TGTGGGGATGAAATGAGATTTGTAAAGTGCTGGTATAGTGCCTGGCACGTAGGAGGTGCCATATAAATGTTAGCTGTTATATTCCTGCTTACACTGTGGAAATCTAGGCCACCTCTATGAGCTTCTTCAACTTCCTTCCTGAAAGGTACATAGGCTTAGAGTTGGAAGGGACCTCAGAAACTATGTAGTCCAACCTTCTCATTTTAGAGATGAGGAAACTAAGGCTCGGAGAAGTTAAGTAAGTGACTTGACCAAGGTTTAAAAGGTCCCAGAGCTGATTTGAACTCAGGTCCTCTGACCCTATGGGCTCTTCTTTTGTTCTCCTAACTACCTCAGAGGAGAGGATCCTCCTCTTCTGTAGGCTTTCACCTGTATTACCCACAAACTCTAAAGTCTTACCTGATCTTGTCCTGCCACCTCCTACCTTGGTGTAGTAGCACAGGCTACCCTCAAGGTCTGTATGTACTACCTCCTCATCATAACTCATTGAAATCTTTTTCATCCTTCAAGGATCAACTTAGGGGTTACCTAGAGGGAGCTAGGTAGTACAGTGGTTAGAGCTCTGGGTCTGGACTCAGGACCATCTGAATTAAAATCCATGGACTAAGGAAAGATCTCCTCTTGACCAAACCCCATGCAGCCATGATAGACAGCTCCCAATTGCTAGGGAGCTCTCTCATTAGTCTATATAAGCTTGTGAAAAGGGCCACATTCACATATTCTCCCTATCTTCACTTCCAGTTATGCTCCTAGAGAGTAAGAACCGGGTTACAACTCATCTTTTTATCTTAAAGGCCTATAAGATTTCCTTGAGCTAGAAGATGCATAGTAAATCTATTAATTGAATTGAATTTTGCTATTATTATTCCAACCCATCTTATTTGGAGCCTTGCTTACTCCTCGTTTATTTTTGATCTTTTCCTTACTGCTCTTTCCATGAAGCCTAAAATTATACTCGAATATCCCCATCCTAAAAAAAATGCCTTTTCCTCAACTCTACAACCTTCTGGAGCATCTCCCTTTCCCTTTTCATCACCAGACTTCTAGGAATCATTCATACTCACTGTCTCATCTTTCTCCCACCCAGTCAATCATTCCTTAACCCCATCACTCAACTGAAGTTTCACTCTCAAAGGTCACCAGTGATCATCTTATCAATAACTTTTCCCAGTCTTCATCCTTCTTGACTTTTTTTTGTTTGTTTGTTTACAGCATTTGACATTGGTGGCCATCTCCTCTCCTGGATACTTTTCTCCTCTCTTGACTTGTTATATTGACTTCTTATAGTTCTATATTCTACCTCTCTGGTTGCTTTTTTGTCTCTTTCACTGGCTCTTATTCTTTCTCCTACCCCATAAATGTAGGTGTCCCCTAGACTTTTCTTCTAGGATTCCTCTCCTTTCCTGGGACTTTTCTTATCTTCTGTCCTGGGACTCTTCTCCTCTGCATACTCTTTTCACTGTCTGTGGCTTCAATTATCACCTCAGTGCACATGGTATCTAAATCTGTGTCTTTATCCTCAAAATTCCTGTCTCACATGTACTGCCTAATGGACATTTTCACCTAGATATACTGCCCGGCACTTTGAAGTCAGGATGTCAAACTAAATTCATCCTAGAATTAGCCCTAGCAATGGTTTGGAATCCTGCTTCTTGACACTTACTGACTGAGGGGCGGAGCCAAGATGGCAGAGTGAAAGCAGTGACTTGCTTGAGCTCTCCCCCAAACCCCTCCAAATACCTGTAAAAAAATGGCTCTAGACACTTACTGACTGTATGATTCTGGGCAACAGCCCTTCCAAGCTTTGGTTTCCTTAATGGTTATAATAATATTTATAATACGTTCTATTCTACAGTGTTGTTCTAAAAATCAAATGTGAAAATATTTGTTTAATATCTGGCCCCCCTTTGAAAACTGCAAGTGCCTTTTGTTTTCCCTTTCCTTTTTTATTAGGTATAGAAGGAATTGTATCTACCAGGGTCTCTTACCATGTGGATTGGGCTAACTTTCCTAAGGCCCTGTTGCATGCTGTTAGGCTAATTTTTCTGAAAAAGGCATTTTAACTGTCTTTGAAACTTGGTTGGCACAGGGGAATAAGGTTTGGGCTGTTAACATAGCTTCCTCTTGCCTGAATAGAAAATCCAGGGCACTAGGAGTCATGGCCTCCTTCCTGAAGCTTCTTAGAATAGATTGGCAAACCAGCAACACCAAGAACACTGGGAAGCTGTGCATAATTAACTCAATGCTTTATTCTTGATGAATATCCTTTCTTTGTTCTGAACGTCTTTCCCTTTTAGACTAAGTAAACCTTCTACAACTGTCATTTTATTCCAATCTCAGACCTGAGCTACCAGCCTGGCCTAGTAGGCCCTGGCCTACTATAGCACCAAAGAGATATGCTCAACACAGCAAATGTTAAAATACTTAGCCACTGTAAAGAGCAACTTCCAGGGCCTTGACTATATCAAATCACAGCAAAACTCTACTTTTCCCCCACAAACTTTTTTTAAGTTAATTTTTTAAAAATGAACAAAAAATGTAATTTCCCCCCTTTCCCTTCCTCCTTCAATAGAGAAAAAAAAAGACAAACAAAAGCACTGCAACAAACATATATATTCAAGCGAAACAAATTCCTATATTGGTTATGTTTAATAACTCTAAGTTTCAATCTGCACCCTGAGCCCATCATCTCTTTGCTGGGAGGTGGGTAGCATGCTTCATTATGGGTCCTGTAGAAACATGGTTAGTCATTGCATTGGTCAGAGTTCTTAAGTTTTTCAAAATTGTTTTTCTTTCAGTGTTGTTATTGTGTAAATTGTTCTCCTGGATCTGTTTACGTCAGTCCTGCAGCAACATTCTTAAAAGGAACATTGCACTTGGAGACACTTTCTCATTCTTCTTATGGGATCTCTTTGACTACTAGGTGTCTACAGGCCAGAGCTAGTAGCATATGAATTGCATTTGGTTTTGACTGATTGGTAGGGATGCCAGAGCAACATACTAGAGAACTGTGGGAGGAGATGCCATATGGTGCTAGGCTATGTTCTCAGGTACTTGCTTGAGCCAACCTAGTTGTGGCTGAGAGTTGAGAGCAATCACTATGAGGTGGTAGTGGAGAACTTTTTCTCAGCTTGCCAGTCAACAACATTTTGTTAAGGAGACATTTACTCCTTTCCCTCTGATGATTTGAAAGTGGGGTATGGATGAGTGCTTCCCTAAAGAGTTGTGTGCATATGTGAGAACCAGGGGCAGAATATAGGCTGAGACTTGACTGGAATGGGAGGGATTGAAGATATAGATCTTAGTAGTAGTAACTAGCTTAGGAATTTCCAAGCTGTACCTTTCATTCAATCCAGACCAATGGTGGATTGATCCAGCTGGCTGAGACAGAGCTTCAGCCTATCATTGGAATGCTGGAGTAACTTATCACCAACCTGATACCCTCAAGTAAATTTTATGAGGATCTTTGAGAGAAGGAAAGTACATCTAGACCATGCAGTTCCAGAGTTGTGAGTTGTCATGGCTATGTGTGTTTTGTACATGCATCCCTACCTCATTACTATTGTACTGTAAACTGGTACTTTCTCTTACTCCCCCTCCTTCCAGTAGATTCTTAGTGTCTTTGCATGAGAGTGTGTTTCAGGATGTTTTTGGGAAATATTTTATTACTACCATTCTTGCTGTTTGAGTAAATGCTTTTGCTGAAGAAGTGAATTTACTGACTGATTGTTAAGGGGAAATACGTTAGTGGGGGCTTGTAAAATGCTAGTGTTAAGAGGCATTAATGACAACCCACAAGGGTGCCCTCTAAAACCAAATGAATAGTAGCATATACCTTTCTGGCGATTGATTATTCAATTCAATGAGTATTTATTTAGTGCTTACTATGTTATATCTATATACAAAGACAAAAGTAAACAATCCCTGCTCTCAGGGATCTTACATTTTATTTGGCTCCTAACCTTTGACTCATCTTTAATTCCTTCCTTATCCTCCTGCTTCCCCATCCCCTCCAATCAGTTGCCAGGTCCTGCTAGCCTTTACGGTTACAATATCTCTCATATTTGCTCTCCCTCTCAGTGCCATCATCCTGGCCACCCATTACCTCTTACCTGGACTGTTGTAATCACTTCCTAACCCTGAGTTCAGTTTCTGCTAAAACCAATCTTTCCTGCACGAGTCACCAGACCCATATTCATAATGTCATGTGCCTCCTCTTCTCAGTAACCTCACTGCCCATAGGAATAAATTCAAACTGTGATATTAACATTCAAGGTCCTCCATTCAATGGCCCCTCCAGACTGGCCCACTCTCTATACCACTCTATGTGCCCCCAAGTTTTCCCATTTCTATCTTTTGAGACGGCAGCAGCCTAAACCTGGAAGCCCTCCCCATTCGAAGCCTTTCCTGATACTTAGATGGGGAAGTTTCCTTGCTCTGAACCTCGTTATGATGTTATCCAGACTTTTTCATTCTCCACTGAAGGCAGGCTCTCATCACTCCCTCCCCAGCCCATAGTAGGTACTTGGGGGGGAGGGGAATGAATGAAAGGCTCCAGGTAGTTGCCAGGGTAACAGGACTTGAGTGTAGTCTATCAGGCACTATCCACAGACACCCCAAAGAAGTGGCGACTAGGCCCCTTCTGGACCACAGAGAGTCCTGGGTGCCAGGGCCTCTTATGGTCTCTATGGAAACCTAGCGGCCTCACGGGGGCGTTTCGATAACGAGATTGACAAATCCCACTGCCCATAGGCTAAGAGTTGTCTGCAGGGGAGCTGAGCACATTCTGCTTATTGATTGGTTAATATCACGGGGAAGGCGGGGTCAATAGAACTGGCAGCGCATGCGGCCTACCGAAATGCGACTGCGGCGCCAGGTTTACCAATCACCATCCGGGATGGCTTTGATGGACAAGTCGAGCGGGAAGAAGCTCCGAGGTCCGACTCCCCTCCAACCGGCTAGCCGCATCCCTCGGATAGGGCCAATGAAGAGGCGGAGGGGGTGGGGCGACGGGGCCGGTTGCTCCGGAAGTGGAGGGAGGGGGTGAAAATGGCGCCCAGCTCGAAATCGGAGCGGAACAGCGGGGCCGGGAGCGGCGGCGGAGGCGGCGGAGGCCTTGGAGGGAAGCGGGCCGGAGGGCGGCGGCGGGAACATGTCCTCAAGCAGCTGGAACGTGTCAGGGTGAGAGCTCGGCCGAGGCCCGGAGGATCGGGCGGGGGAGGGGGCTCCCGAGGGGAGAACCAGAGAGGGGAGGGCGTCCGGGGGGGAGGGGCATGGGGGGGGTGTGCATTCTGGGGGGAAGGGCCTTAGAGGGGAGGGCGCTGGGGGGAAGGGGGAGGAGAAGGAAGGGATTGTGGGGAGAAGGGAGTGGGGGGCTGGGCTTTGGAGAGGGAGGGGGAACGAAGGCCTTATAGGGGTCGGTGAGGTGGGTCGTGAGGGGCGAGAGCATCGGAGGTGGAGGAGAAGGTGATGGAGGAAAGCGCTTTATAGAGGAGGAAAGCTCTAGCAGATGGGAGGAGTGACAGGGAAGGGTGTTATGGAGACCTGGTAGTGGAGAAGGGGTACGGAGGAATGGGGGTGGTGGTAGGAGTGGGTATTATGAGAGTGGGCTCTCCAGGGGTGGGAGAAGAAAGGGGTGCTTCAGCGAGGGCGCTTCTGGAAAGGGGGGAGACCCTTCTAGCAAGAGCATTGGAGAAGGAAAGAAGTGATGGAGAAGAACATGTTACAGAGCAGAAGCCCTTATGCTGGGCATTAAAGGGTAATGTGGATAATAGGTGTTATAGGAAGAGAATATATTCTAGAGAATAATAAAACCTGATAGTTGATGTTAGAGGGGGTAGGTGTTGTAAGGAGATAGGCTGTTAAAGAGTAAAAGAACTATGAACGGGATGGGGATTGAGGGCAGTGGTGGGAGGCAGGTTTATGGTAAAGCCTTGGGTTAGATATGCACATATCTCATCTCCGACTGGAGCTTCAGGCTCCAACTCACTCATATGCTCACTCACATTGTCTCTGTCCCATCAGTACCTAACAAGAAAATGAAAGCCTAGGAAACTTGGCAGTTCTAGTAATGTATTCAGGGTCCAAGCAGTCCATTCCTAGACACTTACAAAATCCCACTGTGAGCCCATCTCGGGGCCAGGGAAGGATCATAGGTTTGGAGCTGGAAGGGCCTTAGAGATTATCTAAACCAACCCTTCCTTTTTCAAATGAGAAAACTGAGGCTTAGTTCAGTTATTTTTTTTAGTTGTGTCTGACTCTTCATGACCCCATTTGGGGTTTTCTTGGCAAAAATACTGGAGTGGCTTGCCATTTCCTTCTCCAGCTCATTTGACAGATGAGGAAACTGAAGCAAACTGGATTAAGTCACTTGCCCAGGGTCACACAGCTACTAAGTGTCACTGCTAGTAAGTAAGATTTGAACTCAGGAAGATTAGTCTTTCTGGCTCTAGGCCTGGTGCTCTATCCATTACTTCACCTGAGGCTCAGAGGGGTTAAATGCCTTTCCAGAAAGAGTCTAATCTTCAGGGGTTTACTTTTAGTGGGGATACTAGGGGTGTGTGTGTATGTGTGTGTGTACACAATGTATATATATCATTAAAGTTTTCATGCAGTGAGTGTTTCTTGAGCTTAGCCTTGAAAGATAGGAAAGCAGTGGTATTGAGCACTGAATTTGAGGAGTAGAATGGGTTCATGGTATTACTGTTTTTGTCATTGACTTGGATTAAAGCATAGATGGCATACTTATCAGTATTACCAATGTTCTGAGCTGGGAGGCATAATTGACACAAATGAAACGATCCCAAAATGTTTCCAGGAGGCTAGAATAGTGGGCCAAATATAATTAGATGAAATTTATTAGGGACAAATGTAAAGTACTTCGTGCTGGTTCAAAAAATCAACTTCACTAGGCCAGTATTGAAGGAACTGTGGTTGGACAATAGCTTATTTGAAAGACTTCTAGGGGGTTTGGTGACTGTAAGCTCCATGTGAGTCAGTGGTGTGAGATGGCAGCCAAAGAAGCCAATTCTGGAGATCTTGACTTTTGACAATCACATATAGGAACTGAGGATGCTTAACCCCAAGAGACTATAGGAAAGGATTTGATAGTCAAATGTTTGAAGATGTTATTGTGGGGAAGAAGGCATAGGTTTATTCCACATGGTCCCAGAGGGCAGAAGTAGGAGCAGTGGGTAAGAGTTGTAGAGAGGCAAACTTAGGTTTAATGTAAGAAAACATTTCCTCACAAAGACACCTTTCCCAAATGGACATGGGCTGTCTTAGGAGAAAGTAGCTTCCCCTTTCCTGAGGGTCTTTAAGAGATGGTTCAGTGATGTCTTGTTAGGGATGGTATCAAGAGCTTTCCAGTTCCATTCTGGGTTGGACTGGATGACTGATCTCTGAGCTTCTATGACTCTCTCTGTTTGGAAAGTGGGGATGGAGATTCTCTTTAGGAAGGGAGACATGAAAGCAACAGGATATGGATAATTGGGAATGGCAGGAGCAAAGGCACGAGGGGAGGAAAGGCTAACTGATGTTCAAAGGGCAGGTAAATTAGGCTCAAGACAATAAGACTGAGGCAATTTGGATTATATATTGAAAGCTACTTCTCTGAGAGAAGAAAGTTGGGAAATGGGGTGACAGAGTGACCGGGAGTCAGAGGAAGTTCATTGAAGGGAAGAGGAGAGCAGGGCAGACTTGGATGGACTCTGCCTCTGGAGTGGAGAGAAGTAGTTTGATTATTGGCCTCCCCCTCTTCCCATCCCCAGATTAGCGGGCAGCTCTCCCCTCGGCTCTTCCGTAAGCTACCACCCCGTGTCTGCGTATCCTTAAAGAGCATTGTGGATGAAGATTTCCTTTGTGCAGGGTGAGGTTGGAACAAGGCTGTGTGCTTGTATACTAGGATGGGGAGTATGGGGTGGGTGGGTGGGGGATGGATATCAGAATTAGGGGTGAAGTTGGGACAAGGCTGTGTGTCTGTATGCTAGGATGGGGCAGTATGGGGTGGGTGTCACAATTAGGGGTGAGGTCAGGGGCAGGGGTGAAGGGAGGAAGAGTAAGGCTGGTGCTTCTCAGATGCCAGAAAAGTACCCTCTCCACAGGCACATCTTCCTGGGCTTTTCCAAGTGTGGCCGCTATGTCCTCTCCTATACAAGCAACAGTGGCGATGATGACTTCTCCTTCTATATCTACCACCTGTATTGGTGGGAATTCAACGTCCACAGCAAGCTGAAGCTGGTAGGAAGGCGGGGCTGGAGTAACCCCTCCGTGGGCCTCCTCGCCACTTGCTCATCCCTTCTCTTCCCTGGGCAAGGGGCAATCCCACCCAGCTCTCAATCTGTATCCTGGGCCAAGAAGAAAGAGGCCTGGGTTTGAGTCTCCACTCTTCAAGTCCCTCCTCTCCTTGGGTTTTGGTTTCCTTTTCTGTGAGATGAGAGGGTTGGATGAGGTGATCACAAAGAGCCTTCTATTACTAAACGCTGTTCATGGTTCCTGTGCAATCCTGCCCACAGGTGAGGCAGGTGCGGCTCTTCCAGGATGAAGAGATTTATAGTGACCTGTATCTGACTGTTTGCGAGTGGCCCAGTGACTCTTCCAAAGTCATCGTCTTTGGCTTCAAGTGAGGGCTTGTGGGGCGGGGGACGGGGGGGGGGGCTGGGGATTGACATTGGGGAGGAAAGAGGAGGAGGTTGGGATTGGTGTGGGCTCAGCCTGCCCCCTGCCCCCTTAGCACCCGGTCAGCCAATGGGATTCTAATGAACATGATGATGATGAGTGATGAGAACCACCGGGACATCTACATTAGCACTGTGGCTATGCCACCCAGAGACCGCTGCCCTAGCTGCCGAGATGCCAGCCTTGCCCATCCTGGTGAGTGGACCTGCATGTGGCCCAGGCTAGGGACAGAGGAAGGATTCTTATCATTAGTGTACCAAGAATACCAGGGTATTTGTGTCATAAGGGTGCAGTGTAGCCATGAAGTAGCCCAGGCATGTACTGTAAGCATGCTTCTGTTAACATGTGTGTGTGGTAGTTGTATCATGGATGTCATAGGCTGTGTGTCCTATGTACTGCCCGTGCATTTGCAGATGCTTGTTGGGTGTACTCTTGTCTTGGGAGAGGCATGTCTTGGTGTGGGCATGTTACAGGTCTCTTCAGGTGTGTTTTGTTCATGTTTGCTGCATGGGGTACATGTGGAAATGTGTCACTATCATGTACCATAGGCATTTGTTACAGCCCTGCGTATGTGTCTGTGTGTGTGTTTCAGGAGACCCTAGTGCCCATTGCCTGAGACACGGGTTCATGCTGCATACCAAGTACCAGGTGGTCTATCCCTTCCCCACCTTCCAGCCAGCCTTCCAGCTCAAAAAGGACCAGGTGGTGTTGCTCAACACCAGTTACTCCCTGGTGGCCTGTGCAGTCTCTGTCTGCTCAGCAGGTAGGCTTGTGACTCCGAGCCATGGCTTCAGCCCAGCTGACTGGCCCTCCCTCAGCTACTTGTAGAGCTGAGGCACTGTGGTCAGTCCTGATGGCTTATAGGATTGCAGAGTTGGAAGGACTTTAGAAATCATGTAGTCCAACCTCTTTGTTTTATACGTGGGGAAACTGAGACTCAGAGAGGTCGTGACTTACTCGGTTTCGTGTAAGTAACAGGATTTGATTTCTGACCCAGTGTCTCTTTAGAATGATAGTTCCTAGACACCAACTCCATTCTCTACTGGGTGGAAAATGTCCTTCCTTTCTTTGTAGACTCAGCTTTCTTTCCCCTACCCTATGACTAAGTGAAAGAATTAGGCATCAGACAGAATTTTTCTTCAGTGTTATCTGTTTCTTGATGCTGCCTTGGAACACTAGATCATAAGATTTCTAGCCAGGAGGTACTTTATAGGTTATCTAATCGAATCCCCTATAGGAGAGAGAATTAAGGTCTAGATAGGGGAAGAGACTGACCTGCTCTCATGAGAGTTATAGAATATAGAGGTGGAAGGAGTCTTAGCTGCCATCTAGTCAGTGCTGCCTTAGTCTCTTGTCTCCCATTTTACATCTAAAGAAACAGATACCAAGAGAGAAATGACTTGCCCAGGTTCTAACCCAGAGTTCTCTGGTTTGCCTTTGTAAGTTATGAGCCCTCATGTTCTTTCCCCCTAACCTGCTTCTCTCCACTCCATCCCCCTATTCTAGGTGACAGCAGTTTCTGCCAAATCCTCTATGACCGAACCACCCATCCGCCAGCCCCACCTGACCCTCCTGGGCCCCCGAGCCGAGAGGATCCCCCTGTGTCCAGAGGACCCTGTCCAGAGGCCACCCCTGCTCGCCCTCCAGAGCCCTCACCAGCTGTTGCCAAAGCCAAGGAATTTGTGGCTGACATTTTCCGGAGGGCCAAGGAGGCAAAGGGTGGTGCTGTGGAGGAGGCCCGACAGCCCCCCTGCCTGGGGGCCTCGGGCAGCCGCTGTCGTCTGCCCTGTGAGGCCCCACCCCTGGACAGGGAGTCAGGACCCCGGGACAGTCCTCCTGACACAGTGCCCCCCATTGCAGAGCCGGGTTATGTCAACTACACCAAGCTCCATTATGTTCTGGAGCCTGGGGACTGGGCTGAACCAGAGGATGGTGAGGAGAGGGTGCAGGTGAGGGGAGGGCAGAACAGAGGCCTGCTCCAGACCTCAAAGTCTCACCCCTATCTATCATTCTGTTCCCCTCTTCCACCACCTCCAGGGTTTGAAGATGACAAAATCTCCCTTCCGTTTGTGGTGACCGATCTCCGGGGCAGGAATCTACGGCCTATGAGAGAGCGGGCAGTTTTCCAGGTATGCAGCGCAGGGGTCAGGGACAGAGGAAAGCCACCCTGGGCCAAAGAGGAGTGAGCATATGTGTATGTCTATCTCTGGCCCCTTGTCCATTAAAGGGCCAGTACCTGACAGTGGAACAGCTGACGCTCGACTTTGAGTATGTCATTAATGAAGTCATCCGAAATGATGCCACTTGGAGCCACCAGTTCTGCTCGTTCAGTGACTATGACATCGTCATTTTGGAGGTGTGTGCCCTCTGGGGTGGGAGTGGGCGTGGGAGACATAAATGGCATAGAAGTTCTTCTCACCTAAGACCACCTTGTGTCCACTTTGTATGGGTCTTGTAAATACACATATTGTCTCCTTAATGGAATGTAAGCTTCTTGGGGGCAGGGACTGATACATTTTTGTCTTTGTGTTCCCCAGCACCTAGTACAGCAATTTCCACAGAGTAGGTGATGAACACATGCCGATGTAGAGAGGAAGGAGCACTAGACTGAGACCGAAGGACCTGGGTTTGAGTCCTGGCTCTCATAATTTTTTAGCTGCATGATTAGGAAAATCATTTCCCCTCTCTCTACGTCTCAATTTCCTCATCTCTCAAGTGGGAATAATATCTGCTCACAACTGAGGGTTGTGAATTAAATACTTTGTAAATCTTAAATTGCCATAGAAATGTAAGCTGTTATTATTGGGTTCCAGCCTGTGATGCTGCAGGGCTCTGGGGCCTCTCCTCATTGTCCTCCCCTGCTCTCTCCCCTACCAGGTCTGTCCTGAAACCAACCAGGTCCTCATCAACATTGGCCTGCTGCTCCTGGCCTTCCCTTCCCCCAATGAGGAGGCCCAGCTCCGGTGAGGGAGGGGGGAGGGAAATGCTCGCCCCTGTGTCCCCAAGGCCTGCCACTGACCAAGCACAGGATAATGACACTGCCCCCTCAGCCTTCACTACAGGCCTTTTAGCTCTCCCACTTGACAGCTCTCATGGTTTAGTCAAAAGAGCAATAGATATGGAGTCAAGAGAACCTGGCTTCGGACCCTTTCTCTGCCATTTGGTAGCTGGGTGATCCTGGGCATAGTGCTTCCCTTCTCAAAGTGGTAGTTTTCCCCATCTATAAAAAGAGGGGGTTGGATGAGGTAACCTGTAAGGTTCCTTGCAGCTCAGAATCCTATGATTCTCTCATTTCCACTCTTCTCCACTCCACCCCTTCCCCAGCGGTCTAGGCCATTTCCCTTGGGCCTCAGTTTATCCTCTGTCCTGCCCTCTAGACCAAAGACCTATCATACCAGCTTGAAGGTGGCCTGGGACCTGAACACAGGTATCTTCGTTACGGTCAGCGTGGGTGATCTCACTGAGGTCAAAGGGCAGACCAGGTGAGGCCAAGGCTGATTTAGAAAGGAGGGGGTCTGTCCCACCCAGGATCCTGTGTAAGCTTCCTTTTTCCTTCCAGCGGTAGTGTCTGGAGCTCCTATCGAAAGAGTTGTGTGGACATGGTGATGAAGTGGCTTGTGCCCGAGAACAGTGGCCGTTATGTCAACAGGATGACCAATGAGGCACTGCACAAAGGTGGGGCTCAGGCAGTCTCAACCACCCAGCGTTCTCTTCCTCTGCTTGCTTGGCCTGTCGGTCTTCTTATCTGGCTTTGACTTCTGAGGGCGCAGAGGCCCCCACCTAAAAACCTGCCCTTCCCCTCATATAAAGGCCCTGCTCATTCAAGTATCAATCATTGATCTGTAACTGCAACACTAGGACTGTGCCTAGGACATGTTGTCCCAACTCCAGATAGAATGGAACTAGAGAAGGCCCCCAAGCTAACGGCAGCAAAGATAGAAGGGGGCCGCTGGAGGAGTAGGGAATGGGCAGAGAGGGACAGACTAAAGAGGACTCCAGTCTGGAATGGGAAGACTGGAGGGGGAAAAGAGATTTTGGAGGGCACAGACGGAGTGACCTTCAATGAATCTGGTCACCAGATCCCAAAATTAATAGGGTAAGGAGCCTTTATGTTTTTACACTATGAGATGATATTAGGACAAAAGGCTGCCCTACTCCTGTGATAGGAATTCACTTTATGGGGACTTGGGACCTCCCAGAGGTGTCTGTCAGTGACACAAAGCAGAGATGGGTTCATAAAGGTTTGGCTACATTGATAGTGTGTATCATATCCTTTATCCTAGAAGTAGCACTGGATTTAAATGCTGGCTCTTTTGTTTACTGTCTGACCTCGAGCACGTCATTTAACCTCTGGGCCTCAGTAGAACGGCCCCTCCACCTCTTAAAGTCCTGTGATCTTTCCTGTGTGATTTTGGCCAAGTGTCTTCTCTCTGTGCTTTAGTTTCCTCTGTCAAGTAAGGGGGTTGGATTGGATGTTCTGAGGGCCATTCCAGCTTAACTCCTTCGAGCCTATAAACAAGAGGCAGAAAGGGTGCCCAGAAGAAGTTGGGATGTACTTGTCTTGTGTGTGTGTGTATGTGTGTGTGTCCCACCCCCTCCAGGCTGCTCCCTGAAGGTCCTGGCTGACAACGAGCGGTACACATGGATTGTGCTGTGAGGAGCCCGGGGGCTCTGGCACCCACTGCTCTGGACACTGACTCGATACTACCTCCTCGTTTTGGGTTGGATTTTGTTGTTACTTGGGGGCTTCTTGTTTCTCCCATCCTGTCCCCTAGTATTAGGTTGGGAGGTGGGGGGGCGGGGGGGGGGAGGGAAGGCTCTGGCTCTGGAAGGCCTCCCCCCCTCCCCCCTTGGAAGGTGGGCTAGGCTGGGGGAAGGTAAGGTAAGGCCCCCCAGGAGCCCTGGAGCCCAGATCCCTTTTATTTATGCCTATTTAAGTGGGGGCAGGGGAGGGACCCCTGGGGATTAAGTGGCCAGGGCTACCTAGGTTGCTGAGTTCCTTGGCAAAGAGAGCCCTGTCAGCCCCGGGCACAGGGAAGAGGGCCAAGAGAAGCTTCAAGAGACTCAGCTTCTCCCCACCCCCTCCTCCCTTCCAGGCCAGGGCCTTTGGTTTCATGTATATTCTAAAAGTTTTCTTGGCTGCCAGTTGTGGATGCCAGTTCCTTGAGAGGTCAAGTTAACTGACCCCTCTCCCTGCCCCCTCCCCCCCATTCATGTAATAAATGTTTTAATTTCTGAGACTGTGTGAACTCCCTTCAGGGTCATATCCTCACCCCCGAGCCCCACCCCCCACCCCTACCCCCAATCAATCTGTGAGACAGTTGGCTCTGCATCTCATCTTTACCCTCAAGTCGGGAATGATTTGTGCTCTGGGTCAGAGATAGAGTGAGTAGTCAGGAACCAGAGCCCTGACCTGCACCAAAGCAGAAGAGGCTCCAGGACAAAGCTGGGGGAGTCAGCTGGTAGCCAAAGAACACAGCAGAATTTATTGTGTTTTAAGAAAGTCTACAAAAAGGTAGAAAACAGCTTGGGCTCTCTAGACTACCACACGCTTTGACACTTTCACCACCACAGGGAAGAGGGCCTGGCTGCCCAGGCCCAAGGTGGCACCAGCCACCAGCAGAGTAGGGGGCCAGTCCCCTCAGCTGCTGCTCTTGGAGCACACAAAATAGTGATTTTTTTTTTATACAATAAGGTCAGGTTTTTTTTTGTTTGTTTTTTGTTTTGCCATAAACATCTATCTCACATGTTGAAAACACTGAAAAAATTGGAACGAATAAGGCCATGATGGTTGGAAAAACCTCAACAGCTACCAACTCTGGAGTGGATATCGCTCACAAATCGCACAATAGTTATGTGGTTTAAGAGAGAGGGTTAGATCATTACATTACAAAAGCACAGATCTCTGGAAAACTAGAATAGCTAAGAAGGTTCCATGACAAACCAGCATCGTAGAGGGCAGCTGTTGAGGGGGTGAGGGGGGTGATCTGTATGAGTGAGGGCTACCCAGGCCCCTGCTGGCCTACCTGCTCCAGGGGAGGCTGGCCACACTTGGGAGGAGGCACCTTGGCCCGAGCTCCCTGAGCTGGGGTAGGCTGGCAGCTCTCAGGGCAGTGTCAATCTAGCACTGGTCTTTGGAAGCTAGGAGGGAACAAGGAAGCCTCTCCTGCTCATTCCCCCACATCAGCTGTCTGTCTCTCCCCTGCCCCTGGGGAGGGAGAGGGTCCTGCCACAGCTTCAGGCCTAGGTGGGATGAGGCAGAGGTGGAAGTACAGCCTGTGAAGGAGAGGGCCTCTCCCAAGGCTTGATGGAGGCCTGCAATGCTCCCTCACAGCAGAGGGTGCCAAATGTGTGTGTGGGGGGGGGTCAGGGAAGGAGATTGATGGGCAGGGCCCTGACCCACAAGCCCTCACCTAAAGCAGTGCCCAGAACTGCTTTAATTGCACTTAAACCAAGAAGGGAAGCGGGGGGGGGGGGGGGGGGGGGGATTCTGGGGGGTGACAGGGACCTCCGCACTTTAGCAAGTGCTCTTAAGAGAGCAGCGACCCCTCCCCCTACCCATACTACCTGTGTCCGAGGTGGCAGCTCAGCATCCCCTAAACCCCAGACAGACTGGGGTGGGGGTGGGGGGCAAGCCACTGTGCAAAGCCCGAGCTTGGAATCAGTTCCAGGGAGTAGGAGAGGGTGAGGGAAACCCGGGAGCCACCATGCCCACCACAGGGAGCTGTCTCCCTACAGAGCAGACAGCCCCTTGGGCCAGGCTTGGCACAGCTCTGGGCCTGTGCAGGTGGCCAGGGGAAGAGAAGATGCTGTACTCTCCCTCTTGCTCCAGGCCATGCCTACTGCCCTAGGGAGCCTGCCACCAGTCAGGACACTCAGTTTGTTCCTTAAGGCACATCTTGTCTTGTGTCAGTGTTTGCAGTATTGAGGAGCCAGCTCCCCTCCCCCCACAAATCCTTCCAGTGCAGCCAAGTGGTTCTTGCCCTGGGATTGTGCTGCCACCCACCCCCCGTACCCCGCAGGGACAAACAAAGGCCACAGGAAGGGGTGGGTTTGCAGGGGGCGAGGGGTGCAGGGCCAATGCTTTCCCTGCTTGGAGCTCTCCTGCTCCGCCCCCCTCAGTAGCTAGGGGTGCATCTTGCCCTACAATGAGGGCCAGAGCGAAAACACGCCAAGTCCCATGAGCTACAAAGAAGCCTGGAGTCTAGCTGGGACTTTGGTGTCTGTTGAGGGAAGGAGAGTAGGGGTAGAGGGTAGAAGGCTGGTGAGGCCAGGCTTCTCCTTTGCTGGAAGCCTGGGCTCATGGGATTCCCACAGCTACAAGGTGGGTTTGGGGTAGGTGGCCCTTGAAACAGCCCTTGCCCTGCCCTCTGAGGGCCAGAGTCCTGGGGAGCCCCAGCAAATAGCCAGGGCTTTTAGCTTGAGGGCAGGGCCTGCACGAAGATGCCCCGTCCGTCGGTCCTTGCCAGCTTGGCAGGGGGCTCCAGGGGCTCTGAGCTGAGGGCAGTCGACTCACTGGAATTGAGCGAGATCTCTTGGGGCAGTTCATCTTCACTCTCCTCCTCTTCTTCTTCCTCCTCATCTGGGTTCATGGAGGGGTCTGGGTTCAGGGCTTGCTCTAGACAGGAGCTCCTCCCCCCTCCCACTCCACTCCAATGGGGCTGGGATACTCAGGCCCCTTTGCCCACTCTGCCCCACAGCTGGTGCCCAAACGAGGTGGGGACCCAGGTATCCAAAGGTCCTCACCAGCCCCAGGAGGAGCTGAAGTGGGAGAGGCCCTTCCTACCTTTGTCGGGATCCAGGGGGTTCAGGGAACTGGCCAGGTTGGCAAACTGTACAGGGGAGAGTGGGCCCGGGGAACAGTTAGGGTGGGTGAGCTGCCTCTTTTTTTTCCCTTCCCCTACCTCCCCCACCTCCCCCCAACCTTCCTCAGTCTACCTACTGTACCCACCTCGCCCATGACAGCAATAGGTGTCTCTCCCTTGGCCTGGGCCACCCGGTGCTCAATCAGATAGTACATGTACTCGTCATACAAGAGGCGGATCAAGTGGAATGAGCCAAAGCTGGCCGCACTACGCAGGGTCAGGTCCCGGATGACCATGGAGCTAGAGGAAGAGGAGGCAGGCCTCGGGTTGGTGGGCTGAGCCAGGCTGCCCCTAGTCCCCATTCATCAGGCACCACCCACCTGTAGAAAGACCACTTGAGAAGGAAGAGTTTGGCAGCCTTGGGGAAGCTGGCACTGCCCTGGTAGGGCTTGAGCACCTGGCTCACCACGCCATCCAGCCAGCCTGCCCACTGCTCCAGTGAGTTCTGCTGCTGAAGAGTCACCTTGAAATCCTGCTCCAGCCGCTGCACAACGCGGTCCTCACAGCGGCATACCCATGAGGCCTGCTCCTGGGGAAACGCAGCCAGAGAGATGTGGCTTGGGACGTAGGCTCTGAGCCCACACCCAAGTGGTTGCCTCCTCGCACCATGTCATGGCATTCCCAGAAACCATTGTGGTTTCTGAGCAGGACAGGGCTGCCCATGAGCCTCCCCTCCCAGGATGGCCCCAGCTATCCTTAGGGACTGCTGGTACCTGCACATTGGCAAAATCAACGCGGTTGAGGTCGCTGAGCATCTGGTTGATTTGGGCCGTATTCTGAAGCACAGCCCGGGCCGCCTGGGCCAAATGATTGAGGGAGGTGTAGCGCCGAAGGGTCTGGGCAAAAGCACTGGCTGCGGCCACCTGCAGACAGAGCCCTTTCATGCCCTTGTTTCTGTGATCCCCTCCTCACCCACAGCCAGGCCCTGGAATAGCCCAACATCAGCACTACAGAGGACTTTTAAGACCATTGAGGCCAGCCTCCTTTTAGAGGTGAGAACTATGGACCAGAGTGTAGTGGTGACTTCAAGGGATCATAGGATTTAGTGCTAAATTATCTGGAGGTATTGAGAATATCTGGTACAACCAACTTATTTTATAGAAAAGTAAACTGAAGCCCTGTGGGGCAGCTGAGTGGCACAATGGATAGAGTGTTGGGCCTGGAGTCAGGAAGACTCATCTTCTTGAGTTCAAATCCGGCCTCAGACACTTCCTAGCTGTGTGACCCTGGTCAAGTCACTTAACCTTGTTTGCCTCAGTTCCTCATCTGTAAAATGAGCTAGAGAAAAGAAGTGACAAAATGCTTTGGTATCTTTGCCGAGAAAACTCCAAATGGGGTCACGAAGAGCTGGACATGACTGAAAGGACGAACAACAATAAAACCTGAGGCCTACCGAAGGAAAGAATTATCACACAGGTCGTGAGCGTGTAGCAGAGCTTGGGTCTGAATCCAGGTCTCTGGCTCCACATCAATTCAGTGTCCTCTCATTGGACCATATTCCTCTTCCTTCCCCTCTTACCTTGGACCACTGCAATAACCTGACCAGCCCGTCCCCTCTCATTTTTCCTGCATGGCTGCCAGTCCCCTTCCTACAGCCCAGCTCTAACTAGGTTGGGCTTCCTACTGTTTCTAGGATCAAGTCTAATTTCCTCAGGCTGGCATTTATGGCTCTTCACAGTTGGGGAAAAAGAGCACTGGGTCTGGGAATGAGAGGACATGAGTTCAAATTACAATTCTAGTTGCTATCTGTGTGGCCTTGAGTGACTCACTTTCTTTAGGACTCGGTTTCCTCTTCTGTAAAATAAAAGTGCCAAGATAACCTCTAATTCTAAATCCTACCTAAACTACACAAGTTCCAGGGGCCTTTGGTTTGGTGTTCTAGGATGGGGATGAGCTAATGCAGGTCAGGAAGCTCCATGCCCCTCACCTTCACCCGAACCATCTCTTCAGGGATGTTCATCATGGCATTGGTGAGCCAGCTCTCTAGGCTCTTGGCAAAATTCCGGATTGCTTGTGTCAAGGCACCTGTGGAGGACAGACAGAATGGTGGGAGAGGTGAGCAGAGCACTCCTGCCTCGGCTGGCTGCCCACAACCAAGCCCTACTCACTGGGGATGGGCCGCAGCACATCAGGGATAAGGATCTCCACCAGGCCCTGATACAGCAAGTTGTCACAGTCCTTGGTCCACTTGAGCACAGGCTCATACTTGGAGAGAAGCACCAGGCTGCTCTTGGGCAGTCGCTTCTCTGCTTCATCGTGGCTGTATGGAGACACACAAACAGGGACACAGACATGGACACATAATCAGGAACAGACATACATAGATATGATACGACACAGGGACGGTGACATGCATGTAGGGACATACATACA